TACAATTCGAACATCCTTGAAAATTGAATAAACCTGATCTGTAAATGCAGGTAGAATATTCTCACTAGTGTTGCCATCTAGACAAGACAAGACAAGAGTTTACCTACTAAGCTAAGCTAAGTGCGGTCTTGTCTAGATAACGAAAGTCTAGATTATTATTCAAGACTCTAGATAAGACGCTTAGCTTAAATTGCGTAGAAACAGTCAAGTGCATGCAAACTCCCGCTCTCTGGGAACCAATCAAAACAAATCATAGCCGCGCCAGCGAAACGATGTATTTGTAATATAGATTTGAAAATAATCAAGAGTTTTGAATAAAAGTCTTGTATGGAAAATGAAAAGTCTTGTCTTGTCTAGATAATCTAGACAAGATATATTGATGATCTTGTCTTGATATTCTAGACAAGACAAGACAAGAGTCTAGAATGTATAAGTCTAGACGGCAACACTAAATCTCACCACCCGGATGATTTGTTGCATTGCATACATATGGCACGGCATCCACGTTACGGGTAGTATTGAATTCGTGCCTGTATAGTATCTGATGATATGATGCATGTCAACACACATTGTAACAAAGTAAAGTAGGCTGAGATCTTGCTTCTATCTACTTACCCATATTTTTATAATAATCAAGTGAGTCAGATTCTTGGTTACTTCACTATGCTTCACTTATATATTCATTTTAGTTAATTCTTTCAGTTATTATGTTGCATTGGGATCAAATGTGACACTTTGTTTGGCAAGCGAATTTTGCATTTGCGGTGCAGAGCGCCTATCTACTATTTTTTTAGGTTCAACGAAGAACAATATTGTTTTGACAAGAATATGGCTGATTCCCAAAATGCTACCGAAAACCGACGACAATGAGGACTATTTCATTCTCGATTTCATTGATGATTATTATGTAAAATAAATGATGGAATAGCACAATCCAATCGCTCGTTTCAGCATCCTATAATTAGTAACATTAAAAATATGCACCTGTTCACTCTTCGTAGTATAGCATACACATTGCGTAACAAGTTTCTAAATTTTACCACATGTGCAATAGACTTTATGTATAATGATGATTCCACTTTATCTGAATATAACACTCGGAATAATAATCACTCTTACTTAGTTGAATATGGCAGCCAAAATTCAATTCCATTTGTGTAGATTTGGGTCATTAAGCTATACGAAATCTCTCTATCACTGCAAACTATATAGGAGAACTATTGTGATTCATCTTTTGGATCGCATGAAAGGGATCCCTATCATAAGTTCTTGGAACATCCTCCCTACGAAATATGTACAGGGTGGAGACTTTAACTATAATATAAATTCGCTACTGGGGAAGTGAATAATTTTTCTGAAAATTCGCCAGACACGTCAACGTTTAAATATATTTACCTACATTTGGCGAGCATAATGGAGAATATATCCCTTGAGGGGTAGCTGGAATCAACCCCAACATGTTTTTTTCAAATGCAACCCTCATTGGAAAGCTGGTTGAAAGAGAAATGAAGCGTACTGAAAAACGGACTAAATATCGAGATCTTCTCTTCGAACTCCGCCGGCTCTATCCAGACCATTCTGTGGAATTGGTCATCCTGATTATCGGCTCCCTAGGAGGCACACGACACACGCTGCTCTCGGAGATCCAGAAAATCCCAGCCTGCCATGATAAGGCACACATCCTGGCTGGTGGAATGCAGAACTAGGATCATTGCGTCTACTCAGGGCACACGGTACTTGGTCCCAGTGATTACTCACCTCACTGGCTGTGAGGAGTAGTCACTGGATTTTATCCCACGACTCTGCGAGACGTCGGAGGCCGCAGGGTCGTGACTGGAATTATATGAACTAAAATAATAATAATAATACGTCTTTATTCATCATTTGCAGAACAACGATGAACAAAATAACAAAATGTTTCACACAATCAGACACAAACTGCAATGACGAAAAGATGAAGTATCAGCATAAAGCTGTTTTTCAACTGAACCCGAAAGAAATGAACTAAAGGAAACAATTAATTTTTTGATAGATATAGTGAAAACGATAAAATGAACAATAAGCAAAAAGTAATGTAGCTCGTTACATGTACAGAAGAGAATCAAAATGACATGGCCAGATTTCATTGTGGAAGAACCTAACTAACAGTAGAAATAATAAGCTTCAATCTTTTCTTGAAGTTACTGAGAGTGTAAGATCTAAATTCTGATCATATTTCAGTTTGCGGTACGTTTGGGGGTCGCATAAAATCGAAATAAATTTTCAAAGTCCGATAAATTTTCAACGTATTTTCATCAAAATTTCGACTTTTGGAGACATTGATATAGGGCATTTCCACGAGTTCGCAATAACACTTTGTTTCGAACTGTGAATACGGCAAAAAAACTAAATTTCTTTATGCGGCTCTATGGAAACACGAGAATACAATAGCAGATAGCAGTTGGCAAAATTCTTTTTCAATGAGGGGTCACAAGCTACCTATATGGTTATATTTGAAAAAATCATGGTGAGGGTGATTTCAGCTACCCCTGGAGGGATATATTCTCGATATTAGTCTTTTGCCACACTGTATAGCACTTGTCAAAAATACTTAAAAATTCCTTGCCCAATTCACATCAGCAGAATCGTTGCCCAGATTCGTACTTGTAGCAAAACACGATTGAAATTTACTTTTTATGGCTCCTCCAAAGAGAAACTGGAACATATCTTACTGGTTTGTCCTATATATTCTGGCTTGAGAAATAATGATTTATTTGTTAAATTACGAGTCATTGACGACTTGATAGATATTCTCAACACTCATTCATATGAATTATTGAAACAATTAGCTACGATTGTGATGAATATCCTGAAATTACGGTCTTTTGTCATCAATGAATGAACCGCATGCCTCTAATGTTTCTCCACATTATGTCTTACTGCAGAACTTTTCAATTGGAATTATCTCTTGATTGCCTTCTAAATATTATCTGCCATACTTTTTGTTGTTTCTTTATTTTTTGTTTTCTCTATCATATGATATTAACCATTTCTCTGTTTTGTCTTTTTTTCGGTGTATGTATAATCTGAACACTGTTATATTAATAATTTATGTATTTGTTCGAACCAATTTTCTTGTAATGAGGTTTCCTCTTCAGATACAATAAATGTTATTGATTGATTGATTGATTGATATAGTCTCGATATTGCTTGCAAAAGGTAGGTAAATACATTAAATCGTTGACGTAGGTCGGGAATGTTTAGAAAAAATATTTACCTCCCCGCTAATTCAAGTCTCCACACTGTATATTGCAATTATTGTGAACTTCTGGTTCTGGAGGAATACTTCCAGGATGGTCAGAGATCCACAAAGATTCTATATGGATGATTGATTCGGTATATTGAGATTGATCAATATCCTTTTATTACTTTTCAAAAGTACCTATAGGTATCATTATTTTTCACCTCTGAAGTATATTCTTTTTGAGATGCCAATAATCTCGTCAATAATTGACCGATTCGAATTTTCTCGAGAACACAATACATACGATTAAATATAAGTTATTGCTCGAGATATTGGGTCACCCGGTATACCTAATATTTATGAATTCATGAAGAAAATCGTTCTATGGTATACATAATACATTATATACAGCATCATGCACGCAAAGAATCAATCCAATGCTCTTATATATTTACTTCCCTGCATTGTAAATTGTAATAATTCTCCCAACTGCAGAAAAAGCACGTTTTCATGTTTATTCATCACCATTGAACGACAAATATGAAAACCATTGTCGATTCTTTATTCGATGTTCAGGATTGACATGTGCGTCACATATCACCACATCCCACTAAGATATTTTCACCTTCTCCTTCCTCCTAATAAATAATGATTAATGTACCTACCAGAGCGCGTTTATCAATATTGAACCCTCTTTCAACTTTTTTGTTTTTGACGATACAAAGGAAAATGGTATAAATACTCGGGTAAATATAAGAATTATGGATGGAATAACTTGAATCTTGAGTACAAGGTTGTTTTCGTCGAGGTTTTCGTATATAGTTACATGATTTTTTTATTTTCCAGAAATGGACATTAAACTTTTGTTTTTCAAATATATAATACAGCTTACACGGTTGCCGAAGAAGCCGTAGCCGAATGCTGCAAATCATGCATAGCGAAATTTTTTATTTCTTCGACTTTTAACCATCTGATTTAATGCTCATCTATCATACAGAGCTGACATTGCTTGCAAATTTCATGGAAGATGAGATTATGTGAAATAATAACACAATGAAGTCATTTATATCAGATACTGACATGAAATTGATAAATGTAAAATCTTCACGAACGCTAAGATTTACATAAAATTCTCAAACACACGACATATTATTATGTTTCGCTAACATAGTAGCTTCATCAGGTGATATACTGGTACAATGAACTAAACTAACATTGGCTTGTTTAACTTTAATATATCTTACTTTCCCAACCTGGAGGATTAGTTAGGACAGGAAACTATTTCGACAAATCGTCTCGTATTTTTTCTGTTTGAAAGATTGAGCAAAAAATTCGAAAATAGGGTGATTGATTAGCCTAAAATTAGCCATTTAATCTCAATATATCAAATCGGTGAAAAATCAATGTTTTCAAAAATGGCTCTGCTGAGTTCGGTCGAAGCTAGCAAAGCCACAGATTTTTCTATGATAGAGAGGAGCAAGAAAATTAGGAATAAAAGGTAATAAAGTAATGAATTAGACTAAAATGAGCACTACATTTTCACTTCATCAGATCATCAAAAAATATAGTTTTTCAAAAATGGCTTTGCTGAGTTCGGCCGGAGCTAGCAAAGCCACATATTTTTCTATGATAAAGAGGAGCAAAAAATTCGGGAATGGGGTAATGAATTACCCTAAAACGAGCCTAAAATTATGAGATGTGTGTCATGTTGAAATTCGAAAGAGGCTTTGCTAGCTTCTTCAGTATGCATACTCTGTACTTATAATAATTATTCTAGGGAGATGAAGATGACGAATCCTACTACGAAGACGAAGAGGCGTCGGATACGGAGGATCAGTTTTTCGATGACGTCATAGAGGAGAATGGGATGGAGGAGGAAGAGGAGACTGCTTTGCAGGCCGAGGAACCCACAGAGAAACCCACGACGGCGAAACCAGCTCATCAGCCCGTGTCTAGTATGACAGAGTACAAGTGGAACCATTTCGGAACCAGGGCTAAAGTCGAGGAGTCGAGAAGACAGCAACTGAATCTGAAACCAACGAAAGACCGTGAGTAGATTGTAGATTGTAGATGGGTCGAATAGGCTGGGAGATCTCTCGATCACTGCGACCTAGAAGATCTATTGTGATTACCCTTATCTAGTTTTGGTCCTTCAACCCTAGACTTCTGATAAAGCCTAGAATTTTCCTGACGGTTGAATTTTCCACCTCAGCAGGGATGAGATAGACCTGTTCTAGGTGGTTCAGCCTTTGGCGGACTAATACTTCACATGAGCCGCCAGACTCATCTTTTTGAGGTGGTACCTCAGAGGGCCGTGTCCTGTGAGAAAGCCTGTGATAAGCTTCAGCTCTGGTTTGCTGAGGTTGAGTAGCTCTTTGGCTCGGTTCTGCGAATGGTTGATGAACCTTTTCGCTTGTCGTTGACCTGGAGTTGCTCTCCAGTAGGAGGACTTCTCAATTTCTTCCCATTTCCTGAGTTCTTCCTTTAGGTGACATTTGCTTACCCCACAAAAAGGCTCAGGAACAAAAAAGTGCACATGCTGCACTTTTTTTGCAAGGCGATCAGCTGCCTCATTTCCTTTGATTCCTTCATGCCCTGGAACCCACATGAGTGTGACTTTGTTGTCCTTTTCCAGGCATGAGAGCATGAGACCGTGAGTATTTTTTTTATCTCTTGGAGCGCACGAAAGGAAATTCCTATAATGTTCAAAGAACATCGTGCGTTCCTAGGGAGGCAGGAGGTAGGTATTGGCATTTTTTTTAACTTCTGGAGATTATATGTTATTGGGAATACTTCCTCAGGCAGAGCCGAGGGCAGAGCCTAGCCGTTCTATGGATGGTGATGTTTTGATAAAGTGCTGTTCGGCATCTTTCGAGGTTGACAACGAAAGGATGTGCTGACTGGGCTTGTCTAGTTCGTCTGACTGGTATTGCTAGTGAAGGAATGATAGCAGGGATTTCCGAAGAACATTTCCCGTGGAAGTATCAATAGAAAAGTGAAAGGTCGCCGACCTTTCTACGGTGTTCCAGGGGGGTTATAAATAAAAACAATCGATACTTCCAACTTCAACATCCTGTATCTCAAAAACGGAGTTAGGCCACCCCTTGAAATTTTTCGGTGTTATTTAGATACGAGAAGCGGTACCGTAAAACGAAGTAAATAGAAACTTGAGGGCGAATAGTAAGAATGGAATATTCATTATTCTAGAGTTTTGGGGATTTTCTCTCCTCGTTTCTATAAAATGAAAGTATGAATATTATTTCAATATACGTGTAGTAAGGACAAATCAGATGATTTGCCACAAAATGTCACTTCGTTTGAAGAATTTTCCTATCAGAGAGCCTGGAAGAAAAATTCACCAGATTATCAGTGGCAATTTGTATTGAAAAAAGTTTGGAGAAGAGAAATAAAGGTATATAGAAAAAATATCAAATTTCTACTTAGCTTTGGACGTTTCGGGAACGAATCTGCTCTTGCTTTCAACATAAAAAATGGATTTTTTGTAAGATTGCTATTATAGATAATAGTATTCACCTGGTACAAGAATTTTCAAATGAAAAAAAATCTTGTACAGGTGATTACTACTACCTGAGACCTCTCATTTGAGGTAGGTATAATAAAAGGGATAGTGCCACTCAACTAAAATATGGTGTTCTATAGTTCCTCCTAGATCTATAACACTTTTGCCGAACGACGTTTTTCCAACTTTTTTATTCTGTGAAACATTCGCATTGGAAATCCTCAAATTGGCTCCTGCAGGTTTCACCCAAAATTCCTAAGATTCGTTTCGATTTTGGTCTTGTAGCAATTTTGCTCAAAAAACGTAATGTTTTATCTCGGTCACTGCGAAACATTGTGATATTTCGATTAATTTCAGTTCAGCTACCTCAAATGATTAGGAATTAAATCTTTCAGCGGTCACTCCAATGCTACGATCACTTAGAGACCCTATATAACTGACAGCTCGACTATTCGAAGATGAATTCAATGAGAAGAAACGAATCAGGGCAATGCATGCCGTTGTTAATTGTATATCTACTGACACCTGAAGACACTATAGAATCCAGTCGAAATCGAAATCTGATCGCTTGTGAAGTTTCAGGTTACCTTGAATGTATATAGTACCTATACCACAACTTAAAAACAACCATGTTCCAGGTGTAATTTTCTTATTTATCAGTTATTCGTGGAACGGACCAGATGAAGAAACCCAGAGAAATAAATGCTTAAAATTAAAGCTTCATAGTAAAAAGTTCAGTAATAATTGATATATTTCAATAAATGTACTAACTAAAAAAATTTAACTGCAAACTGCATTTGATAACAGGGAGATTGTATATTGTGCAACAAGTGGGGAAAGTACTTTTCCCCACATGTTGCACACTATATTTTTTCTACAACTGCACTTATCCAAAGAATCCATGTAATGTAACTTATTGGTATTCATTTTATAATGTGGCACTATGCCACATATAATATTGTGATCAAAGAGTAGACGCCTTTCCTAGTTCCTCAAAGTATTTAAAAAGAGTACACTTTCCGAAAAAGATGTTATTTCTGTTCTTTTTTTAGATTCCATAATTTTTTCGTATATGCCAATTCATACTTTTTTCTTGAAATTTCCGGAAACAATTCCAACTTTCGCAGCTTTTTCCATCACCTCTGTCACATCTCGGTATAAACATCATATTATTTGTAATGAATTGTTGGAATAATATTTGATGGAAACTGCGATTTTTATCGGATTTCTATTGAAAGCACTAATGAGAACTACACTAAAAGAATTTCAAAAACTTCTTCCGACAGTTGTCGCTATGAGAAATGCGCTGCTTTTCATAGCAGTAGTAGAAAAACATGTATTCCTTATAGGATTACTGTATACAGATTGTTTGCCCACTCGTTACACTTAGGGCATGTAAATGGCAACATAGAAAGAAAGACTGATTCGGCTATCGTACCTGATGACCACAGCGAAACACAAACGCTCTTCTCAGTAATATATAGCATAACTTATATATACCTAGCATAATTGCCATATGTTTCAAATGTCATCCATTCGATAAACAATCTGTTTTCAATGATTGGAACAAATCTTCCGATCAAATCCAGTGATTATCGGAGATTGGAAATTGCTCATCCCGTTTATCCGAGAATCAGGACCGGATTCAGGCATTGGCGACATAGGCGTGCGCTTAGGGGCCCGCACAACGAAAAAAATACAAAATAATTTCACTGGTCATGTTTTATTATCGTAGATATTACGTTCTACGTGCATCATACTCGTTACAATAAACCATGCTTTTGAATTTTTCCAACCAGTTCCATGTGATCTGAAAATTGAAAAGAACATTGGTAACGAAAGGTGGATGCATAAACTTATGTTGGAAAATAATGCGAAAGAATGCTTCACCAATGTAGAAGTGACGTTAAGAATGTGGTAACTTTCTTTAACGGTGACTATCAGAAAGATCATTCTCTAAGCTGAGGCTGATCAAGAATTTACTCCAGAGACCAGACCTCTATGTCGGAAGACAGGCTATAAACTTTTTGGACTTGCTTAGTATAGAACACGACATTCATCATTCATAAACGCCTTCATCATGGACAAGCTTAAACAGAAACTAATCAGCAAGAGTGACTGAAGTGAAGACGATTAGTAGTACATTTAATATTTCAAAAAAGATTCATCCAAGATATATTTATCTCGATATTTATGATCTAAAGAAGAGAGAAGTACATAATGTTGACTTGATCTCTCTTGTTGACTAACCAATGTATATTAAAGTGTTAAAGTTATGTTCAGTTTCGTGGCGTTGGCGTATCTTAACCGACAATAATTTGTGTTACAAATCAACGATGTGAAAGTTCCCTTAAAAATCACCATTTTGCACCTAATTTTTCCTTTTTTTCCGGGTTATCCATATCACCCGATGCCCCACGAGCCCAGGGCCCGTACCACAGGTGGAGCCTAGGGCCTGTATTTTCTAAATCCGGCCCTGTCGAGAATGTAAGTTTTCGTTTTGAAATTCGAGTAAATGCGCTGGCACTGCTCAGTTATTCGAAAACCGTTCCTTTGGAAAAAGGTATGATTATTCTCGGTCGACGTAAATACAAGGAGCTGAAAGGTAGAAGACAAAATAATTGGCGTCCAAGACGAGACCGGCATCATTACTGTATCACACTGAATTATTATGTTCTTCACAGATCGGACCTCACATACACAACAATTTGCCTGTGTGTGTTGGCATATAACTGCTTAATCTCGTTGATAACATCCAATCCAATGAAACAGAGCCTGTTCGTGGTATACATATTGAACTTATATCTGATGCCTATTTAAATTGCTCATATAATTCACTAGCAGTGGACAATGTTGGTCGCAATGAACTTGAAAAATATACGATCAATGACCACTCGGAGAGATTCCTGGCGAGATTCCTGCTTGTTGATTACTTTATAATACTGCAGGCAAAGTAAACCAGCTTCTGCCCAAATTGTCTTTTATTGCAATTTTATAAAGTTATTGACAATAACAATCTGACAAACTATATTATTATTTTCCATCACCCCGAACACCGACAAAATACAGGGTATACAAAACAGTAAAAATGTAAAACTGGTGATTTTTGTCTCTTAATATGATACGAAGATACTTATTGGTGGCCAGAAATTCTTTTTTCTGCAACCGACACAAAAGTCGTCCATTTTGATACCAAAATCAGCTCTTAAATTGACGTTTCTATTACTGACACAAAAATAGGTATGTTGCTAGGCAACATATTTAGTTCCTAGGAGCTAAAGTTGAATTTTAGTTCCTAGGAGCTAAAGTTGAACTTTAGCTCCTAGGAACTAAAAAGGATCTACTGGACGTCATCAAGAATAAACAACATTGTGACGGTTGGTTATTTGGGTTGAGACGCATACCTGATTTGTTTCCGATTTCAGCAGATTTGGCATTTCATACCCATGCTGGAGTTATAAATACACCTTATTATAGTTTAGTATTGGAATTATAAACATCTCAGTTGAGTATTTTTGTTTTGATCAGGGAAGCCTTCAAGATTCAAATACTTGCTTATTGATCTGTATTACATTCGTTATTGTCGGGATGGATAATTTGTTTTTGAATAATCACGGCAAGCAATAGTTTTTTTGTCTCAAACAACGATATTGTTTAGCTCCATTTGATTATCAAGTCAAACACAGTGTAGAATGGAGAGGAATAAATAATCACTATTATCATTGTTGGTATGCTCACTAACCTAACATTTTCCACTTCTTGTTCCTATAGCTGGCACTGGCGCGGTATTTGCCATTCGAGCACCTGGTCCATACACAAATATGTCACTCTGTGGTTGTATTTATTTTGAAACTACGATTTGAACATCCTTGAAAATCGAATGAACCTGCTGTAATGCAGGTGGAATATTCTCACCACATGGATTATTTGTCAATATTTGTTGCATTGTATACATATGGCACGGCATTGGTGGTTACTTCACATGTTTATTTGAGTTAATTGTTTCGGTTGCAGAAAAAATAGCATGTTTCATTCGGGTCAAAAGTGACTTTGTTCGACTCGCAAATTTTGCTTTCGCTCGGCTTCGCTAAACGCTCCGCCTCGCAAATGCAAAATTCGCTTGTCAAACAAAGTGTCACTTTTGATCCTAATAAAACAATCTACTATTTTTCTACAAACGTCAGTAAAAGTATAATTTTTGACGCATGCTGTCCGTGTCCAAAATGTCAGTTTATGACACTGGTGTTAGAAGTAAATCACTTTCAGCACTAGTGCTAAAAGTCATTTATTTTTATGAGAAAATATGTAAACATAATTCAAAATGAAGTGATTATGATACGAAACTCCATGGCCAGTCTCATTGGTAGATGTGACAGAATTTATTTTCGTGAAGCTTGTACCAGGGCAGAAAGCAATATTATCTGCCGAAGTTTCCTTTGTAGCGAGTCTTCTATATAACCCTCTGCTACTGTACTGGACTTCCACCCACCATGTCTTTTAATTGTAGTAAGACTAGCACCAGAGTCCGCCAACAAACTAGCTGAGGAACGTGGGAAACAATGTCCAGTATATAGATGGGAATCAGGCAAATTAAGAAATTCGGCAATTTTGGCAGACATCTTACCAAATGTGTTGATTCCAATTGGAGTCCTGGCACATTTATTTTTAATGCATTTTATAAAAACTCTAGAATGATTAATATCCACTGGTCGAAGGGCTGTGTACTTCTTGTAGTAGTGCATATACAATGTACCACTTACAACAAAGGTGCGTTGCACATTAGTTTTTGTGACTGGTATATGCACAACTAGTGAAGTTCCGGAATCCTCGATATTATTTAATGTCAAATCGCACAGTTCTTCTCGACGACAGGCTCCAAAAACACCAAAAATCGCAGCAACTTTCTGCATCTGGGGCTTCTGCGAGAAATTTGTCGATTTTGTTCTCTTGTCAATACTTTTGACTTTTTCGGTCGATATCCTTCACCCTTTCGCTTCAAAAAAGCCACAAGCTTGTGATATCCGCTTATGTCATGATCATTTATGTTCATCATCGACTTTAACATAGAGTAATTCGACCAAAGCGTTGACGATTTCCATATTCTGGACTTTTCTTCAAAGTATGCAAGAAACACTTTTTCACTGGCCTCCTTTCCACTGACATTTTTCTGATCACACCATTTCAAGAAACGTTCGTATGAAAACTCGTACTGTCGCTTTGACTCACTAGGCGGGACATGTTTCGAAGCTTCAAAGCTTCATCATCAGCGAAAATTTGTGTTCACAAGTATGACGAAAAAGGTGGATATCGACAGGAGTACAAACAATTTTATGACTTAGGATATCGAATAAATAGTCGTGTTTTATTTGTTCCATTCTGGTAGCGGTGTTGGGAACAGAATGACGTTTGCAAAAATGAGAAGTAGCAACCGGAATCGGAAAAGTTGCAAATAAAGCGATACATTAATATAAAGGGATTTTGGTGGCGGAATCGGATAATAAACGCAACTAATAACTTAATTCACAATATCGTCGATTCTTTTTTCTTTTAAAAAAACAGATAATATTATACTTCGCCGACTAGGCTTTCATTTAAAACAATGGTATAACTTGAACGTCATCTATAATTTTAAGTACCTACTTGACATAACGTGGTATTTATTTATCTATTTCAAACTAAGTTATTCATTTGTCATCCTAGCTCAAAAAAATTTTCGTATTCCTGACAAGATCCACCCTCAAGTTCGTAATAAAAAATGTCTTAAATTGTTGAAACATTTTAGGTACTTGCACATATATGGAAAGCTGGATCTATAAAGAAGAAACCGTTATTTATGCAATGATATAAAATTCTCGAATCATTGATTTCATTCAAAATCGAGTAGAAACTGGAAACTCATCTAAGCTAAGAATGAAAAGGTAGCAAGTGCTTATTTACATTTTATATTGTTGATAATGGCTACATTATGTTCTTTCTGGGAATATCAGCTCATTATTATAAAATAAATAATACCTAGGTGGCTTGAAAACAAACTCTTATCTGATGTTGAAAGTTAATGTGGCCACAAATTTACGTCATCGTTGAGAAAAGATTCACATACCTGCACCTACCTCTTATTGTATATCATAAAAATCCAGTATGTTGATGAAAATACCAGATCTTCATATTTTTCGAATACTCTGCATAAGGGGTTCCTCAAGGATCAATCTTAGGTCCAATATTGTATATCAACGAATTACCATCAATTATTTCGGAAGCATTCACATGCGTGTATGCTGACGATGCCACATTATTATCCACAAGTAAAAATGAAGCAGGAATTCAAGATAAAATGAACCGAACAACGTCTATCTTATGTACTTGGTTAAGTGATAACTCTTTGTTTCGGAATCCCACAAAAACTACCAGTTTGATTTTTCTTCCCAAAATCATAATTTGTTTCAATGATACCAAAGTAGAGACTTCAAAAAGTACTACATTTTCAGGTATAACCATGAACAATATTCTCTTTTAGTATTCACTGCAGTGACCTGAGCAAATCAATGAATTCAAAATGTTACCAAACTATTTATTTCTCAGAAAAGGATCATTAGATCGATTGCAGGAGTATCATCTACATTCTCATGTCGTAGCCTTTTCAAAGAACTTGAAATTTTACCACTAGTTGGACTTTTCATTTTGGAACTCTCAGTTTATGTTCATAGGAATAGAAATTCTTTTACAAGAAACCGATCCTTTCACGAACATAATACGAGATCAAGAAATGATTTTCATATCACACTTTGTATGAAGTCATATAAAATTCAGAAACTGAGATTATATAACGTTCTTCCCGATGCCTTGAAAAATATCAACTCAGTTCATTGCTTCAAGAAAATATTATGCAAGTTACTTTTAGAAATAAGCCCATACACAATAGCTGAATTTTATGAATATCTGAAATGATTTCAGAAGTGGGGTTAGATCTTCGTTTTTTTAATAGTCTTGTATAGTAACGTGTATATATGTGATGAATTTGTGTATCTGGTGTTTAGTATATTATTAGTTATATTTAATTTTAATTAGTTTCAGCCTTTGACCTGTCCAATAGCTATGTTATTGAGCTCATTTAATGTATTATATTTTTTATCTCTATCTATCTAAACGAACAACAATCAATGAAACATCTACCGATCTCAAGTTAGACAATCAAATCAAAATTGTAATTTGTTTGAGGTATAACGTTGAAAATTTCAATCTAAAGTAGTCCACGCTGACAAATATTTCACTGAAACAAAAATGAGCTCTCGATGTTTTTAGTGTTTGCGAAGGAATTGAATAGGAATATTTTGTTGTAGAATTGAAAATAAATGCAGTTTTGGAGCACTACGTGAGAGTGAATCAGCAAGCGAAATGCCTGACTCCTCTGCCTAGAGTAATTCCGGTTCAGCAAGAACACCCGGATAGTTCGAAAATATATACGCCCCAGTGCACCGTCCTCTATAGATGTGCCGAGGATTCTGGATGCTGCAGAAGACATACTAAATGTCAACATAAGAGGCGAGTTTTGGTTCCCTTGTATTTTTATGTGAGTATAACGTTTGATATGATGTGTTTGTCAAAAAGCGTATGTACAGGGAAACCCGTAAATTGTATAATTATGTTTGTTTCAGACTCGGTTTCAGAGAAAGTGGTTTTGTTTTCAAGTTATCATCAGTTTGTGAAAATTAATGTTCCTGATACATGTCGTTATTGAGTGCAATGTCTGTGAAGGTATTGATTTTTGACTTCGCAAAATAATCTTGAACGAATGTTGTGATTTGGCAAGAATAATCACTGGATTATTTCGAAATGAAATCGTTAAAGAACAGAATCATTGTAGATTGTTATAGAACAAACAGTTCAAAAACTTATGACAAGTGAATTGTACTCAATAACACTAATATACACTAGAGTTGACGTTTTTTCTCGCGTTTTTTATATATTAGAGTACGGACACTATAGACAAGCAGTGACAAACAAACATAACTACAAACGATTTTGAAGCAAATCATATGTTTTGCCAGACAAGGACAAGAATATGTTTTTCGCTTGGATAAAAGATCCTCGCATCTTCCTTCCTCCACACGTCCTGGGAAGAGTACATCCATATATCTTTCTCTGTCTTTGATTTTTGTATGAGTGGGTAAAAGGGTACGGTAAATTGATTAGAAAATTATTTCTTCTCGAAATATTGAATGATAAGGCTGAAGGACCTCAATGGAGGTCGATATCAAGTTGGTATGTACATATATACCAACGAAATACATATACTATTTTTATGAAATGTCTCTCATATGTAGGTTCAGTTGAATATTTTTTTATCACAAAAGTTCGTAATGTATAAAAACTGATAAATAATTTTTAGGTAATAGTTCTAAATTTTGCTCTGACTTCTGTTTCTGAATCTTTTTGCTTTAACTTATTTTCCAACTTTCTATTTTTATCTTCTATCTGTTTCCTGAATTCCTCACTTTCTTCCACTGGTAAATCTTGGATTTTTGAATATTCCTGCTCTAAAAATTCGATTATCAAGTCTTCTTTTTTCAAAATATGTTCGAAATGAATTTCATTATTTGCAAGTTTTTCGTTTCTTGTTGGTTCTGAATTGGAATAAGGTTCTTTTCGATACTCGCTCAGTTTATAAATTGTGAGTTCGGATCTTCTTCTCAATACGATACTCAATACGATCCTCTTCCTCAACATCAAATCTTCCGTTCTGAAATGTACCGATAAAAATGCTTTGAAAACTGTTCTATATCCCACCAAGAAATTTGACTACCTCGCAAATTTTGTGGCTTGAACCTTTGAGTATTCACACTAGTTTGATCCCAACAATACGTCCTCGAACTATTTACTTCGAATTTAGAATCACTCTGTATTATGGAAATCAGCTGTGTTTTCTCGAATTGTGAGAAAGTAGTATTGAAAATGTTTACGAATTTGTTAAATAATCCCGTGAATAATGGATGAAGAAACGCCAAGTTGTGATCTCATTAGCAGATAGCAGATGCTTATTTCTCAAGACGAGCGGCTGATGAAGATAATGACATAAAGAAACAGCGAGCAACATTTTTTCATTGAGAGGATATCGAGATTCGAATTCGACAGGAAATAGACGTATACGAAGACATATCGTCTAGCGCGCGCCAGAACGTGCAATGTGTTTTATTTCTATAAATTCCGACGACGATTTATAGAATTCTATCTGAAGGAAGCAGAGAATTCGCAGGCACGCAACAATGTCTTTGAACGCCTTGATTTATACTCACAGATTCATATAAGATTTGAAATTTATGGTATAAAAATGCATCTGGATCATCGGCCCAATGGACTGTTTCAGTGAAAAATGTTATTTTATCATTTCGAAGTACCTACTATCCCTAACTAGTTCACTGTCGAAAACCCTCTTTTCACACTATGTCACTTCATTATTTCTATTCATGAGCATAAATGCTGTCAACTAATGACAACATATAATGGCAAACCTTAATTTTGTGTTGAGATCTGACAGCATCAATGGCATGGTGACATAGAGTATATTGAAGTATTAAGTGAATAATATATTGTGGTCTCAAATTTGAAATCAGAACCAAAAGTTCAACCATTCAAGAGATATATGCGAGGATATATGTCATATCCCGAATTGCCCTGTATAAATATTCGATAGGGGTCGAAGGATTTGGATTCAAGATCAATGACTCGTTTCTGAATGGATCAAATAATGTACACATTACTCGGTGCAATTAAAATGATTATTAAAATGACCTATATGGGCTATATGAATAATAACCACATCAATAATTGATATACATATATGTAATATGCATCGTCCCTCTCGTTGATTATAACTATACAGGGTGTCCCTCCGGGAACTGCATCGATCAATATATAGAAAACCATAGGTGGGCTGAATTTGAAAATTCGGAAGTTCACTATTGTTGATAAGTGCTATCCGGCTAAAATATTTTGGAGATTGTGGCATTTCCGGTCGTACCGGAATTGGACCCCAACTTCGTTATCTCGAATGGGACACCCTGTATATTATAAAGGTTTTAGATTTCACGCATGATTCTAAACATGTTTCATGTATAATGTCCTATACCGTTTTCGAAATATTTCAAATTTTAAGTTGAAAATTGCGTTTGCAGACCGAAAAATATATTTTTTTATTTCTGGACATGAACATTTATCATCGATTGTGTATCGATTTATTCGTAGGAGAAAACCCAGTTCAGTAATATTTCGATATCAATTCGATTACAGTTATACAGGGCGTTCACCAGAAAATGATACAAATCGGGTTGAAAAAATTATTGTAAGTCAGTTTTTTTCAAATGAAAACCCCCCCATTTTATATTCTCATTCGATTCGGCATCGAAAATGAGAGTAACTTTGAATTAGGTTATTTATGCCTACACTCAACAATTTTCGAAATATTGGCGAATTAATATGTCTCAGTTCCAGAAAATCTCGTATTCTTGAGTTTACTCATTCTCAGTTGGCCATGGCGTCCGCAATTGCGTTGGAAACAATCAACTACCACGGAAATGTCATTGTAATCAATCATGCCGGCTCCTTTGAATTATTCGAATGAAGATTACTTAAATCTATTTATTATTATTTTATGGCGAATATAATAGGGATATCTCAAGAACATGTGATATATTTGCTATTCGGTATCCGCAGAAGCAGCTAGAAGCCCTCACAAAATACTGTTAAACGAATTATAGAAAATTCCATTTTTTCCATTTGAAAAAACTGACTTACAGTAATTTCTTCAACCGGATCTATATCATTTTCTGTAGAAGCGCCCTGTATAACTGTAATCGAATTGATATCGGAATTCTACTGAACTGAGTCCTCTCCTACGAATAAATCGATACACAATCGAAAATAGATGATCATGTCCATCAGAAATTAACAAAAAATCGGACTGCAAACTCAATTTTCAACAAAATTTGAAATATTTCGAAAACGGTTAGACTCGGGTATAGAACATTATACATGAAGCATGTTCAGAATCATGCGTAAAATCTGAAACCTTGATAATATACAGGGTGTTCCATTTGAAATAACGAAGTTGGGGTCCACTTCCGGTACAACCGGAAGTGCCACAATCTTCACAATATTTTCGCCGGATAGCACTTATCAACAATAGTGAACTCATAAATTTTCAAATTCGACCCACCTATGGTTTTCTATACAGTGTGTCCCACTTACCATGCGCACCATGGGTATCTTTTTAACGGTGAGAGATACGAGGTCGGTTGAATGACACCAAATGTGGAGTTTGTCAAGGCCAACTATGATGTGAAAAAATATTTTGATGAAACTTATTCGTTTTTGTTTTATACGCAAAAAACAGATTTTGATCATTTTCATGTCTCCTCCGTAACTTCTTCATTTATGAAAATATTCAAATAGGAATTTCACATTCTCATGGCAGTTTTTCAAAGTGATTTCGAAAAAAATATGAAATTTGTACCAACTCTCCTAGAATTTGAGATATCAGCACCAACTATGACTTAATTACAAATAACTTTTTTTTCTCTTACAGATGATATGTCGCAGTAATAGTTTTGTGTTGATAACAACGGAGTTATCGTCATATATACAAGAACAAAACTTTATTTGGAAGCCTCCATCTTGACATTATCAATTTTAACAAAAAAATCATGATCTCCGACCTCAAAAAACCCCACTCACCAATTTTGAATGGAATCGGACCAAATCTTGTGCGCCATCTTGGAGCAGCCATTTTTTTAATTTCAACAAAAATTTCATAATGTATTGTCATTCAAAATTGGTAAGTGGGGATTTTTGAGGTCGGAGATCTTGATTTTTTTGTTAAAATTTATAAATTCAAGATGGCGGCTTCCAAATAATTTTTTGTTTCTATATAAATGACGATAACTCCGTTGTTATCAACACAAAACTATTACTGCGAAATATCATCTGTAAGAGAAAAAAAAGTTACCTGTAACTAAGTCATAGTGAGCTATGACCTATATTTGAAAAACTAAAGTTGGTGCTGATATCTCAAATTCTAGAAGAGTTGGTAAAAATCTCATATTTTTTTCGAAATCACTTTAAAAAACTGCCATGAGAATGTGAAGTTCCTATTTGAATATTTTCATAAATAAAGAAGTTACGGAGGAGACATGAAAATGATCAAAATCTGTTTTTTGCGTATAAAACAAAAACGAAAAGATTTTATCAAAATATTTTTTCACATTATGGTTGGCCTTGACAAACTCCACATTTGGTGTCATTTAACCGACCTCGTATCTCTCACCGTTAAAAAGATACCCATGGTGAGCATGGGAAGTGGGACACACGACACACTGTATATTGATCGATGCAGTTCCCGGAGGGACACCCTGTATGTACTTGTCTAATCCGATCAGATCATCTATAATAATACATACTGCATTTAGGCAGCGCATGGGAAGGGAAACCTGACGAATGGTATTTCACAGCATGAAAACATTTCTAGACCGATTCTATATTATCGGATGTAATAATTGTGACAACAAAAACATGGCTGACCCATTTTCCTCATGTTTCAAGCACATTGTAACAATTATTTGCATAATATCAATTATCCAATATCCTTCCTATTTTGTTCGATGAGCTAGGAAAAACAACTGAAACATGATGATAATGATCTATAAAAAACTAATGCACAATCATTATAGATTCTCGAACAAATATTACATACGCACATAAAGATACTGTTCCATTCCCATTCAAAATGTATGTTGGGCCAATTAAACGGGCAATTATTATTTCACAACATAAAATTAGTGCGATAAAGTTATATTTATTGTAAACTGACCCTGCACAGCATGATAGATTCGTATAGATTATCAATCCATTCAATGATGTACTTTACAATGTTGCAACTTTTTGGCCATCAGTAATAATAATAATATAGCCACAGGAATATGGAATGTTTCACCACCAAGATCATCTTTTTTTAATGATAGGAAATAGGAATCATGATGATATTCTTGATCCATTCCAGTATAATGGTCTAATAAGACATACCAGGTGTCCAGTTGTCGCACGTAGTGTGGAAAAGATCTATGACTAAAATTGTTCTAAATTTGTTCTTATCCGTCATTCGGTTTCCCCCTGTACGATAACTCGTCCCAATTATGATTTTGTAGAAGCGATAGTCAAAGTATCATCGAAGTTCATATGTATTTCCAGACGCGAAATTTGGAAACGAAGATCAGCAGGCATATTATTATCATCTTCTGATGTGTATTATAATATTTTGAAGAAATAATTCTAATCAACTTGGCAATGCCGCTAAAGAATTCTAAAAATAATACTTTTTTGTGTAGATAAGATAGAATGAATCAAAATATGTGAAAAAATACAGGATGTTTTATTTAAAGAAATCATAATTCATGTAGCGCCCTGCTTTCAAAAAACATCCTGTAGAGATCAAGATAATTTTAATTTGTGTATTGAAATCAACATCTTCTGTATATTTTAATATTTTGAAAGAATAATTCTAATTAACTTGAGAATGCCGCAAAATAATTCAAAAAATACGATATCTCGTTCCAATTATGATCTCACAGAAGCGATAGTCAAAGTATCATTGAAGTTTATATGTATTTCCTGACGCAAAATTTGGAAACGAAGATCAGCAGGCATATTATTATCATCTTCTGATGTGCATTATAATATTTTGAAGGAATGATTCCAATCAACTTGGCAATGCCGCTTAAGAATTCTAAAAATAAGATATGTTTGTGTAGATAAGATAATCACGAATCAAAATATGTGAAAAACTGCGGAGTGTTCTATTTAAAGAAATCATAATTTATGTAGCGCCCTGCTTTCAAAAAACATCCTGTAGACATCAAATTATGTTTTACTCGAAGACCTGTTTTGAATTTGTAGACTTTACTATATTGTACTAGATAATATATTTCCAAAAAGACTGTGTCTATCTTTTATAACAATGGGAGATATCCCATTAGGTATGCTGAAATGGATCACGAATATAATCATGATTCCTATCTTTAGAAATAGATGATTTTGGTGATGGTGAAACATTCCTTCTTATTTTCCTATAGTTATGATACAACATTTTGGGAATTTGAGAAACCTAAATAGAGTCTGGTCTGAATCATCTTCTCTTCAAACAGATACAGGAATAAGGGTGAGGGTGAATGAAATGAACACCCAATACCGGATCATAATTCCAGACAGGGTATAAAGGTTCGATATTCCTCATCCTCTACTTGCCAGACGCTAAATACTTTTATTTATATTCTATAATGATGAATATAATCATGAGCATTTCCAAGTTTTCGATAAATGATGTCACATCTATTTCTGAGAATACAGCGAGAAGTGCATTTTGCGAGACGCGATTAAAATCACTGAGGTTGAAATAAAGCAACAACACTATAACACTAAACACATCTAATAACTAGCATCTCACTTTTGCCAACTCGAAACATTTCCTAGAACTATTTATACTCCAATTGACCTATCTTGAACTATAAGCTACAATAAACCAGAAAATGTGATTAGATTATTTTCGGAAAATACCATCATTTGCTGTTTTTTTTTTTCAGGCCAAATCTGTGGGATCTTCACAAAACAAGATAGTGAAATTAGAATTATACAATCACACGGAATGTGAATGCAAAGAAATATCGAGCCCGGAAAGTACGGTGGAGAATATGGGAATCACGCTGAAGTCCGCCGAAAGTCATAATAACATACCTTCACTTTCAAACGAGCAGGAAAGGTGAGTAATGGGCATGGCCGGTTTTACATTTCACCCCAGGCAACCAGATGACGGATGATCACGTCACTGTGACGTCCCTAATTGGTGATTTTCCGTCAGAGACGTCACACACCCATTTATGACGTCACTATGACGTACTTTCTATGACGTGATAATCACTTCATCATCTCGACGTCGAGTGAACGTCACTTGAATGGGTAAAATAAAACGTCAGTTTCATGACGTTGCAGGGACGTCCTGTCGACGTCTATTTTTCCCAGACCAATTTAAATTCGTGTTGTGTCTCAACAATGCCATTGAAATCGTCCTCATCGGTTGAAATCATTTCCTGGAATATATCCTGAATGTTCTCTTACATTTCATCATAACTGGGTTATAAACACTACGACCCCACAATATACAGGGTCTTTGGTCCATCGAAGTATATCTATATAGAAGGAGGTGGTCGATAATTTGAATTTTAACTTATTCAAGATTGAATCATATTTACTAATATACAAAGTGTTACATTTTTCTAGAAATCATCGCTTATGAATTTGAATTCAGATGATAAAAATTGATTATTTTTTTCACATTAAGATCCTATTACGTACCTATTCAATATCGATGAAATACGTAATTAACTTCTCAAGAAAGATAGATACGATCAGATGGAATGCTGACAAAACAATGATAATTCAAAATTCGTAATACTTTGTATGATAGTATATAAGGTCAAATATTTTCAAAATTTACTTATATATCTATCCCCCATTGAGACATACGTCGGTGCACCAAACACCCTGTATAAGTAGACAAGAGGTCACAGTTAACTGAAACCTATAAGACCTAAGTGCTAAAAGTGGAGTAAATATTTGAATATCCCAAGCACAAAAAAAATTCAACTATGATTTACGTTTTAAATTATCTATTCGAGGTTTTTACTCCTGTTCTCCTCTCCAAAAATGATTAAATTTTATCTCCTTGATTGTTATAGGTGCAACTGCCCGAAACCATTTCTCATACCTAGATTTGGACAAAGATGTACTTGCGATTGCGAGAGAGAAGATGAAGACTGCATTCATTTGAAGAAAGGAAGAGAACACTTGAGTATGAATACCAGGATGTAAGTTTTTTACCATTCCTACTCTGATTATGTAGGTATGTGAATGAAGAAAAGCCGTATTAAAATTTTGAATAGAATCGGAACATACCATCTTGAATTCCCTAATTTTGACGAAGGAATCATAATTTTTGATCTCGAAAACGCCCACTTACCAATTTTGAATAGAATCGGTATATAATTACAGAACCCGTTCGGTATATTGGTTCCACCGTCTTGAATTTCCAAATCCCGCTCTTTCCAAATTTTGACAAAAGAATCATTATCTCCGACCTGGAAAACACCCAGATAACAATTTTGAAGAGAGTCTGATCATAATTACAATACTCGTCCGCCATATTGGGTCCGCCATCTTGAATTTCCTGATTTTAATGAAAGAACCATAATCTCCGACCCCGAGAACCACCAGATACCAAATTTGAATAAAATCGGATCCTAATTACAAAATCCGCCATTTTGGATCCGCCATCTTGAATTTCTTAATTTGGACGGAGGAATCATAATCCCCGATCACGAAAACCCTAGGTACCAATTTTGAAAAGGATCGGATTATAATTACAAAACTCGTCCGCCATATTGGTTCCGTCATCTTGAATTTCCAAATTCCGCTCGAATTTTCGAATTATGACGAGAGAATCATGATCTACGACCCCGAAAACCCCCAGATACAAATTTCGAATAGAATCGAACCATAATTACAAAACTCGTCCGATATATTTGATCCGCCATCTTGAATTTCCTAATGGTACCGGGATAAAAAGTATCCTATAACCTTCTCCTGGTTCTAAGTTACCTCCCCACCAATTTTCAGCCAAATCGATTCAATAGTTTCGGAGACTATTCAATACATACAAACAAACAAACAATAAAATCTTTCCTCATTATAATATTAGTATAGACTATAGATGAATTGAAATGAGGTGCTTTCACAGTGATAATAGGTCCATATATTTCAGTTTCACAGAATTATGATTTGATTTCAAAGATTTATTTAGCTTTCGCTAGTTTCACATAATATTTTTTACAATTATATGATTGAGATAATATATTGCTAGTGGTGAAAAAAATTTAATATACACCTTTGGTAGTGAAGAATTATTATCAGCACTTTATACAACCTGGCAAAAATAATTTTCGTATAGGGAAACCGTGTGCATTCTGTGCATGGGTATTTTAACGAAGATAACTGCGACGTTGCCTTACGCTTCGTATCGCATTAGCCCCTCCTTCGAGCGAGTCCATTTATCGGCCATAACGGGAAAATTATATTATTTGCCAAACGAGTATACCCCTCGGCTGACGCCTCGGGATATAATCTTGGTCCCTGGGTAATGATGATATTCTTTTACCTTGGTGTATAAATGACTATTTTTCAGATGCATTCAAGACGGCGAATGTGGTCTTCCCATCTGCGAGTATGGAACTTACATGATGAAAGAAGGAAAATGCCCCACAAAAATGGACAAACTGGAAGAATACAAGAGATTTAGGCTGAATGTTTAATGAATTAACAGATTGATATTTGAGGTCGTTATAGATGGACGAATGTAAACAATTGTCATATCACGCGCGAACTTAATGATTCAGTGAAACTGTTCTTACGATACCTCGTCATTAAAATAATACCATGAAACATTGAGAAACTTGTGAATATTCGACAAACTCTGCCATTGTCATTCTTTAGTTAGTTTTTCGTACCCCCAAACTAGTCTTAGACATAATTAGCTACTATTTATAAATAGAATTATTTTTTATAAAAGCAATTCGGAACATTGAGAAATGTTCTTGAAACAATAAACAATCAATTATATTTGTGTGCGTTTCAATATAAAAAGGTACCGGCGGGCTAATATGGTTAGTCAAAGTTGATGAACAATATTTTTTTTTGAGACTGGAAAAAAGTTTGACATTTCTGGTGACGGGTTATGAAATGTACAGTCGCATTCAAAAAAAAGCGTACAAGTAATTTACAGAGAGAAATTAACGTCATCCTATTCTGCATGAAACGGGCTATCGGGACTGATTGCTTATCAAATGTTGACAGTAAAGTTGTCATAGGTTGTCGAAAACACAAAGCATTGGCTGAGCCAGTTTAACACAACTAGAACTAGGATCCTGAAATCCTCTCTCTTTAATACTTGTACGCTTTTTCATTGAATACGACTGTACTTCATAAATTAATTTTTACCCGTGAGAAAAAGTGAGTACTGTATACTGTTGATGGCTTTTGTTGTACTGGTTCCGAAAAATAAGCCAATAACACGGACTTCGCGGTTACGTAAATTACTAAACAACCAGTAAGTTCGTAAGTTTTCCAAATCAATACACAGAATTAGACTGACAGATGATATTTGATTACTTCAATGAATGATAAAGATGCTTGCAAAAAGATGCTCGCAACGCAGGTGTAACTTCTGTTAAAAACCATAATTTAATATCTTCTCAATATCGATTCTTCCTTTTTCCTGTCACAGAAAAAAATGAAAAAATAGTGTATAATTCACGGAAAAATATTTGATTGCTCGAGCTGTAATCTACAACTTTGTACGATAAATATCATTACATTACAAAATGTAACTTCTTGAATTACTAGGGAAGAAAAATGAGTACTTTTTCCGGATATATAGGTGCACTGTTGATGGCTTCTCCTCTCGCAGGTGTCTGGCTATTGTCGATCTAAATGAAAACCTAGTAGGCGACCTAGTAAGCGAGGAGGAATTATAACGCTTGCCTACTAACTACCTAACTAGGTTGTCATCTAGAACGACAATGACCTGGCTTTTTCTGAAAATATGTCTTGAATGGTCTTCAGCAGTCAAGAACAAATCCTGATAATGGTCTGAATTCGGTGCAGTTTGCAGTAGTTTTTGAATTTTCGGTGAGTAGGTATAGGTTCCTAATATTGTATTGAATGTAAGAAAACCAAACTGAACTGAGACAATTGCTGCATCTATCAGGGTTATGGAAGACTTGTGTGTCCTGCTAATAATGCGGTGGTGGTGGCTAAACAAAACAAGGGGTACCATACTGGAATTTTGAATCCACTGAAACATGTAGGTTCTCCTCTTCCAAAATCCGCGCAAGTGTCGACTATCGAGACCAATTATATCTTATTATTACACGACAGCTTTTTTTGTCGAAGTAAACTTGACATGTTTCAATAAGAATTTTATTACCTCGCAATTTGACGAAAAAAACTGCCTCTGAAAAAATTACGAGTCTGTATTTGGACGAGTAATTTTTTCTACTGTTGTCTTGAATACTAAAAATCATGCTTGATTTGTAGAAAGCCAGAAAATAGACTCAATTGCTCCATTGATGTGAGACCTATCATATGGATGACAATATCATGAAAAAATTATCAGAAGAGATTTGTCTAATTCGCCCCTATACATGCCCTGCTATAAGTGTAGAAGTCCGACAGAATAGAGTTTTTTCTGAGGGGGTATCGCTTTTTCTGAACTTTTGATGTTCATAAAAGGAACGCTTATGAAGTTGCAGTACACAGGAAACAAACGACTTATAGCGAATTACATTGGTAAAACTGGCTCGCACTGAGTGCATATTTCGTATTCCATTGGTAAAACTGGTGTCGGATTTTGAATTCCATTGGAAAACTGGTTCACATGGTTCACATAGCTCTAGTAGGTCATGCGAAGTCAGTGCAGTTTTGAAAATGGCGGAAACATTGAATATGCATGGTTTAAACACCAAAATTGAGTGGCAATCTAATCATCATCATCGAGTAGTGATGAAAATTTGGAGGTTTCAAGAAAATAAGGAGAGATTACTTCCCAGAATTCATAATTTTGTTGAGTGTTTTGCACTATAATTCAATGATGAAGAGGTACTGCTCAAAATTATTTCCATCATGAATCATCTACTTTGTTCTTAATTGAAGTTAAGATGGCTTGTAGCCATCTTAATTGAAGTCAAGAAAGAATTTCAGGATGCGGACAAGTTCTAAACAAAGACAAACCAATTTATCCGATTTAACCTCCAACAATAAAATTTTATTATACTATGGGTTGCGTGCAAGAACTGTCAGATGACCGACACTGGAGGCAAAACATTGAAACACAAGTCACTTTTCTTATTTGTTTACAAGTGATCGAAATAGTTTTTCACAATTATTTTGCCATACGAATCGTATTTTTTTGCTATTCATCAATTCGCTCATGCCATCATATTATGCTGTTGTGAAATGCACAAAAACTGCAGCGGAAGACGAAGTAATCCGGTTGGTACATTATGATTTATAAGTAAAGTACCTACTATAGTCACTCACATATAGTTTTCATTTTTAAAATTTGGTAATTTCTCTGATTTCTCATCGGAATTCCTTCTGCGATAGGAGCTAATAGAAATACACCTGAAATTTCTAAAATAATGCAAGAAGATTGGATTCATGCAATCAATCTGGAGGACTGGTCTGACATGCTGACGATCGTGTGTGTTGTAGCCATTTTCAATCAATTAGCAGTATTAGCTTGTATTGCAGAAGTGGCAGAAGGCAGAAGGAATCTTAATAAGGAATGACAACACATTTCATAATGATAACTATGTGAGATTACTATTTACCTGAAAAATCATATACTTAAGTCTCTTGCTGAATTTTTTGTGCATTGTACAACAGCACAATGCGAAGGCATGCTCGAATTAATGAATAGCGCAAAAAACACGATTGGTATGCCAAAATATTGTGAAAAACTATTTCATTCCTTTGATTCCCCTGTAACCAAATAAAAAAGTGAGGTTGTATTTATTCACAGAAGAATGAGGTTGTGTTTCGATATTGTGCCTCCAGGGTCGGTCTTCGTGCACGCGACCTATGTCGTATTGATCATTCTATAACACGTGAAACTATCTGATAGGTTACCTTTGATGAGCAATGCTCTGGCCGTCCTGCCACATCCACAATATAATAACAGGTTCACCAAACAAAATTATGAAATTCTTTCTGGTTCCAACTCGGATTCCAAGGAAAATTATCCCACTAATTCTGGTTTTATATGACAAATCTTGACAAAATACCATGTTTGCCCCTCAGCAACCTGTCAAATGACGTAATTCTGGAATGATTAATTCCATTGGGAATGCACCAGTTCACATTTTGTGTGATTTGCACCACCAGGTTTACGAATGAAATTCGCTAATATAGTAGCAATCGTGCCCTCTCACGATGTTTTGTTCGAAATGTGAATAGAACTGCTGTTCGCATAGTGGACACATCTGAGGAAAGGCCCTTGGAAATTGATCACCACCGTCCCTCTCGCCATTTCCTGAAGGAAGAGTGTGGAGGAGGTTCCGTGCTGGAGTGAGCTATTCGAGATCTGGTTGGCTTGCAGGGCTGTGGCTGCAAGTATGGATGTAAAACAAAACGCTGAAAAATCCGGAGAATCATATTACCATGCCACCTGGGATACAAAAATTGGAGATATGAGTGTTCAAACAATCAGTAAGTTAACCTGGAGTTTGCTTCGAATGATCGACCGTAACTGAAGTAGGTATACTTTTTTCCAGATAATGATCTCGTGAAAATCAATGGTTTTGCATGTCGTATCAAATTTTTGTCTTGTAACATTAAAAAGTGAAATTGTCAGCATCGAGAAGTTCTATTCAGTGTTCGTCTTTTCAATTTGGACATGAACATGTTTTCAGAAATGCACTTATCTCTATTTCTTGGAACGCACGAAAGGGAATCCCTTTAATGTTCGAAGAACATCGTGCATCTCAATACAGTACGTCATACTTGTCATAAAGGCCGTGCTTAATCTATGTCGAATAGAACATTTTCAGTATAGAGAACGTCCCTCAAATGAGAAATGTGTCCCAATTACGTGATTTTCAGAATATCTGATACCGTTCAATATACATAATGTTTTTCAAAATTCTCATTCTAAAATGATATCGACATCTGGATCGTCTCTGTTTCAATTTTTCAAAAATATTCCCGAATTAATCTCCCCCACACCCTGAAATTCGTACCCTCAAGCCTAAAAATTTGGGTGCTGTGGGCCAAATCGTTCATATGGGCCTGAAGAACAAGTGAACGAAACGGCTTGTTTACTATACGAAATGCGTAATTCTTTTTTTTTTTTCAATTGCATACCTCGTTGGTGCCAGCACTGGGACCAAACGCCCCCTAAGTCGAAACTTGTGCGGGGTTAGGTATACATACAAACACAAACATCCATGGCCTAACTAGGATTCGAACCTATGTCTCGGTGGGAGTCCCCATACGAACTCAGCGCCTTCACGCTCTCGACCACCGAGCCGCCTCTATAGAACTATACATTAGTACGAAAACAATACTGGATTGAATGGGATTTTTTCAAACTACTATTGGTTTGTTCTGGTTTCATTGGCCCACTCTGTATATCAGCTCCGTTTTTAAGATATATACAGGATGTTGAAGTTGGAAGTATTGATTGTTTTTATTTATTACCCCCCTGTAAAAGCTCTCATGGTGCCCAAATTCAGATTGATTGGAGACTCAGAAAGTCCCAAAATTTCAAAATGATTCTAAGGGGTTATTGAGTAATCTCAATGGAAGTCTTGAAAACAAGCCTACAATAAAAATTTGGAGTCAAATGATTGAAATAACTCTGGTATTTGACTTCACGCGTTGTCCCACGTTTTTTAAGTTATGAAATATCGTGAATTTCAGTAATTATTCAAAAAATGTACAGAGTACAGAGTTCTGAGGAGAAAACGGTTTGCAACAGCGAACGAGTTTTAGTTATTACTTCAAAATAGTGAAATACATGTTGTCACTGAAACAGGATCATTCGAGTTCGGAATTCAATAAACAAATTGGCACCAACAAATGCCAAATGTAACGTATTCCACTCTAGTGATATTCTTTCGATCTGAACTATCTGAAAAAAATAGAACTGAACTGAACCAGTCAACATATATATGCGTTTTCTCTCGAACGTTAGTATACTTCAATTCGATATAGAATTCATGATAACTGATGTAGTTCAGTTCAAGTGAAATATTTCAGTTAATTCGGAACCAAAGAATATATATCTTATTCTGTCACAATGTCAAAATTGTCAGAATGTTTATTTGGTTTCACCATTTTGGAGGACTTTATTTTGTTTGTTTGAAAGCACTGGGACACCCTATAGAAAAACATTGTTTGAATAACAATAATAAATAATATTTTCCTCTGCTATCACAGGTATCAGACTTTCCTAGAATTCATATGACGAAAAATAAATGCCAACACTAATGAGATTATTTCTTAATGAGGCTATATAGGATCATGCTCTGAAGAGGTGAAACAATTATATATATTATATATTGATATAGGAACATCGTACACACTGTAAATAAATAATGGAAATAGATTGAACAAAGTTTTACTTCAAATAGAACCTTTTCGTTATAGGATGTGAAGTTTTTATATTGTATCTATCTATACGAAGCTATAGATATATTATAATCTAACCCAATTTTCAAATTAGGATATAAGGAGAATTTTAAACAGTGCAATATCAAGGATCCGCTAAAATTTATTTAAAAACGGTAAGTAATTGAATTTGTCAGGCAAGTTTACGAAATACAGATTTTTTTATGCTGAGTAATTGCTTGGGAAGCTTGGGCAATCAGAAGGATTAAAAATCAGAACAGGAAATATGTAAGCTTTTAGTACCATGTTCTATTGTTTTGTGCTCATGCTAGATTCGATGAGCTATTTCATATTGTATAAAAATAAAGAGTGTGTATAATCTTTATCGCCATTATCAGACTATGTTAATTTGCATACGAAAACCTTCCAGAATTTTAAATAAAAAGTAGAGTCAGTTATCATTCGTACAATTTCTATTGAACCACCATGTCATTAAAAATCGGTTCTGTTTTGGTAATTGTTACAATATTATCTCCTGTTTGCCACGCTGTGGCATTGAATCCATTCACTTGGGGGAAAAATGAAGCTGATGATACCATCATTATGGCCCATGTGGTGAGTGTATACAGATGTAGATGATGTACTTATAATTATTTCAAATTGAAGAAATATCGCTTCACATCATAAGTCCATCCTAACCTTAACCTAGTGCTGTTTAAGATTTTTAGACATGGTAACAGAACTCCACAAACTAGTGAACTATATCCCCTAGATCCGTATCTGAATTACACATATTTTCCATTTGGGAATGGACAACTGACCAATGTAAGTACTCATCATAATAATACACAGCTATGTATAGGTATATTAGTAGGTATCTAAGAAGCTATACTTTTTTTTCGAATAGGTAAATATATGTTATTCATATAAGTTGAATTCAGTCAATATTCAAAATGTAAAATCGAAAATTTTCGATCAAAATTGCAACAAACGCATCCAATTTGGGAAACTATTGTTTAGAAAAATGATATCGCAAAATGTAATGAATTGGTATGTTACAAATACTAATCATGACTATTCAAAGATTAAACCATATTCCGAATTTGAATGTAGAATATTCAATCATTCTTGAATTATTGCGAAAAAAACTTTTTTTACTTATCAACTTCAACATATACTGTATCGCGAGAACTGAATATTCGAAGACCGTATATCAGTAATTATGAAATCACCTGTCAAGCGTTGTCGGTCGAATTTCCAAGCACCCTGTGTAGGGGGGTTGTGAAACGTGAACCACCACTCTAGAAGTTACTTCATCTAAGAAATATTTGATTGTGAAGATTTCATTTGATGCCCTAGTCACGAAGAATTTGAATGTTATTTAAGAAAATCGCATGGCCTGAACGTATAGCTTTTACTGCAAAAAATACCATTCCTAGTCTTCTAAGTAACCCTAGAGATAAAATCGATACTAATGATAAATCAGGTATTTATGGAATGAAATGTAATGTAATGACTGTAACCTAAAATATATTTGGCGAACACGTCGAAGTATTGGCACAGGATTTAAAGAACACTTCAGATATAATTGGTTGAACGAATCAAGTGTTGCCTAACACATCTTTGGGACTAGTCACTCTATCACTAGACATCACTAGATAAACTAAGACAGTATTTACATTGATTGTAGTAGAGATCATTAAATGAAACAAGATTTACGACCCATATACAGGGTGTAAATTTGAAAACTTTCAATGCGAATATCTCGCGAAAGAAAAAAGTTAGAAAAACGCCGTTTGGCAAAAATGCTAAAGAGTTAAGGGGAACTAGAACCACCATATTTCGGTCAAGGGATGAGTCACCCCGTCGGCGCGACACACCCCAACTTTGAAATGTCAAATGGCACTACCTTTTTTGTGATGCCTCAAATGAACAGTCTCAGTCAGTAGTATTCACCTGTACAAGACTTTTTTTCCACCCACTACAGGGTGTACGAAAAATATAAAGTCGAATAAAATAAAATGAATTGTGTTAAAAGGATATTGTATTTGATCAGATGTTCAAAATGCATTCCATTCTGTTGTAACCAATAGTATAATCGATGTTCAAATGCCATTCTAACAATTTGGAACACATCTCTTGGAATATATCGGCATTCTGCATTTTATTTTATTCGACTGTATGTTTTCCGTTCACCCTGTAGTGGGTGGAAAATAAGTCTTGTACAAGTGAATATTACTGACTGAGACCGTTCATTTGAGGTATCACAAAAGAGGTAGTGCCATTTGACATTTCAAAGATGGAGTGTGTCGCGCCGACGGGGTGACTCATCCCTTTACTGAAGTATGGTGTTTCTAGTTCCCCCTTGCTCTGTAGTATTTGTACCAAACGGCGTTTCCCTAACTGTTTTATGTAGCGAGATATTCGCATTGAAAGTTTTCAAATTTAGACCCTCGAATTAATGTTTTTCGTACACCCTGTAGTGGGTGGAAAAAAAGTCTTGTACAGGTGAATACTACTGACTGAGACCGTTCATTTGAGGTATCAAAAAAGAGGTAGTGCCATTTGAAATTTCAAAGTTGGGGTGTGTTGCGCTGACAGGGTGACTCATTCCTTCACTGAAATATGGTGGTTCTAGTTCCCCTTAACTCTTCAGCATTTTTGCCAAGCGTCATTTCTGTAACTTTTATATTTCGCGAGATATTCGCATTGAAAGTTTTCAAATTTACACCCTGTATGCTTATAGTTCCAAACTTTTTTATTATCGTCAATTCCTATACAATACAATTTCTGATGGAGAATATTCTGAATGATACTAAAGATTCAGCTAATATTTTTTTCCTTTTCAGTTCTACTCAGGATGGCAACTTCGTTGCCGAAATGCTTATTGTTTACGTATATTTTGTATTTGTAAGAAAAGAATATTCTGAACATGGAAAAAATGGAAATCGGTTGTTATAATTTTCTCTTCTTTATATTTGGAATGATTTAGTATGATTGTTACTCCCATAGGCTGGAAAAAAACGAGAATACTCTATAGGAAAAGCACTTCGTCAAAGGTACAGTAAAAAACTATTGGGTAACGTGTATTACCCGAACCTTGTGGAGGCTTCAAGTACGGATTACAATAGGACAAAAGCCTCCTTGCTGTTAGTGGTGGCAAGTCTGTTTGCTCCCGAGGGCATCGAAACTTGGAACCATTTCTTGAATTGGCAGCCAGTACCATACAACTATCGACCGACCAACAGAGATGAAGTGAGTATCCATGAACAGGTTGGGTAAAAGTCCAGAATAACATTAAAGTTTTTTGAACCAGGATAACTCGAGAAAAAAAACGCTAGTGCTGCAAATTGCGTTTTAGTGTTTACTCCTATTTTGATAATAGAATGTACCTTTTTGTTCAATCCTACCCAATTGTTTTCAAATGTTATAGATAATATATTTCATCAGAATTAGATGTACGGGGTGTTTCAGAAATAAAAGAGTTTTTTCTTAATATTTTGAAAACTATCAAGTCGATATGAATGAAATTTCCATGGTTTACAATTATCAGGCATTTACTGGACCGAACTAACACCTGTTCTCTGCAAGTTGTTCAACTACTCTTACAAATTGGGGATATTACCGTCCAACTCGAAAATTGCAAGAGTACAACCAGTTCCTAAAAAAGGCAAAAAGACCCTACCTAGCAACTACAGACCGATCGCACTGCTATCTATTATTTCAAAGATCATGAAGAAAGCTATCAACATCGAGCTCATGAAATACCTGGAACATTCAATTATCAACGATAGGCAATATGGCTTCCGTCATCAGAGATCAACTGGTGACCTGCTCGCTTACGTCTCACATATATGGCAGCAATCTATTGAAAAATATGGTGAAACCTCAGCCGTGGCACTTGATATCTCCAAGGCATTCGATCGAGTCTGGCACCACGGACTCCTCGCCAAGCTTCCATCTTATGGGATGCCTCCCTATCTATGTTCTCTGCTAGCTAGTTTTCTCTAAAACAGGTCTCTCCATGTAGTGGTCGACGAAGTTTCATCTGACTCTCTTATCATAAATGCTGGTGTTCCGCAAGGATCAATTATAGCACCAACACTATTTCTACCCCATATCAACGATTTATTGGAACAACTTCATGTCCAGTACACAGCTCCACGGATTGTTATATGTATTAGATCAGTTGAATCATTCTGTATTAATATCTTGAAGATGTTGCGATTGAATCATACTGTATTTGTATTGTCATTGTGACTGAGCATGTCATTGAATAAACGTTGCTTCTAGAGTCAGACAGATAGATATCATTTTTATTACAAAAAGTATTAAATAAAACATGGTGTCAGGTTATAACTGAAGAATCCACGATGGAGAAGAAGTTCGAAGAGTTGTTGGAACAATTCAACATTCTTAAAAGTACAACTCAAGAGATAGAAAAGGTCAACAAACAAACAGAAGAACGTCTAGCAAATATAGTGAAGGAGAATGAAAAGTTGAAACATATTCAACAAAATTCTATAGAAACAAAAACAACAGTGCCATTACCAGCCCCAATCAAGTTGGAAGGGGATATAAAGAACAATATTGAATATTTTGAGAAAATGTGGCTGAACCATCTATTGATAACAGGCTTAGCAAATCAATCAGAGGAAGTGAAAATTGCTCTCTTGCTGTCATGCATCGGGGAGGAATCATGCAAGATATTATATAAAATAGAAAATGTCCAAGAATCAGAACAAACAGCAGACAATTTGTTAGCAGTTTTGAAAAAACATTTAGCACCAGCATTGAATGTGAGATTTGAGCGATATTTGTTCAATACAATCAAACAAGAAGAGAATGAATCATATCATACATATATCATTAAATTAAGAGCTATGGCAAAAACGTGTCAGTATGGAGATATGGAAGACGAATTATTACTTGACAAAATAATTTGCTCCATAAAAGATAAGCAGATGCAACAAAAATTATGGCTGAAAGTTGATATTAAATTGGAAGAAGCGATACAAATATGTAAATCTTCGGAAGTCGCTGAAAATCAGCTCAAACAGATGCAACCCATTACCAATGAAATACATAAAATCCAAAATAGAAGAAGAGAAACTGACAAAAGGAGTTATAATGAAGATAATAAAATATGCAAGTTTTGTGGGTACCAATGGCACAAGAAACTGACAGACTGTCCAGCTAGAGAGCAGAAATGCAATTTCTGCAATAGAAATGGACATTTCCAATCAGTTTGCTTCAACAGAGTAAAGAAAGAAATAAGAGAAATTGAAATAACACAAGATGTGAAGAAAGAACTAGTGGACCACATTTTTCAGATAAATTCAACTAATGCGAAAATCACTCAATTGATAGAGGTGATAACAGACAAAAATATTATAAAAGATGTATTATTTCAACTAGACACGGGTGCGACCTGCAATGTAGTAGGTTTGAAGAATCTAGAAGAAATCTATGATGAGCAAAATATCAAATTGAATCATTCAAGAACTACCCTGAAGGTTTTCGGTGGTTCTGTTATAAAACCAGTTGGTTCAAAAATTATCAAAATAAAAACTGATGGGATGGTTCGTAATCTTGAATTTCAAGTAGTGGAATTCAAACATGATCCACTTTTATCAGCCAATGCATGTGAAGAATTGAGATTGATAAAATATTGTAAAGAAGTCCAAACAACTAGATCATCAGATAAATCAACTCAAGATATAATGGAAGAATTCAAAGAAATATTTCAAGGTATAGGAAAACTTTCAGGAGAAGTGAATTTGGAAGTTGTAAAAGACAGTAAACCAATCAGAGAATCTCCAAGAAGAATTCCAATAGCATTAAGAGATGAACTTAAAAAAGAAATAGATAGCAATATATAGCGAAGAATTACAATAAAGGTGCAGAAAATAGAGAATGTGAGATGACAATAGGACAAAATATTTTCTTCAAAGAAAAAATGGATGATAATGAATGGAAGAAAGGGAAAATAATAACAGAAGAAACAAACTATACAGATTGGGTTAGTAATGTTACAATAGTAAAAAAGAAAGACAAAATTCGGATATGTTTAGATCCTACACATTTGAACAAAGTATTGAAAGATACAAAACAACAGCTGCCTACTTTGGATGAAATTTTGCCTGAAATAAACAAAGCGAGAATATTTTCTACTGTGGATGCTAAAAAAGGATTTTGGCAATTAAAGCTAAGCGAAGAAAGCAGTAAAATGACAGCTTTTTGGACACCGTTCGGAAAATATAGGTACCTGAGGTTACCTTTCGGTATTTCGACAAGTATGGAATTGTTTCAGAAGAAAATGTTGGAAATAATCCAAGGATTAGAAGGAGTATTCGTGATAGCAGATGACATACTGATAATAGGTAGAGGAGAGTCAGAAGAACAGGCGATGAAAGACCACAACCAAAATTTAGAAAGACTATTCGCGAGACTAAAAACAGAAAATTTGAAATTAAACCGAGAAAAAGTAAAATTGTGCCAAAAATCGATACAGTTTTACGGTCATTTGTTAACTGATAGTGGTGTAAAAGCAGATCCTATCAAAACTTCAGCAATTTTAAATATGCCAGCTCCTCAGAATGTCGGTGATGTGCAGCGATTCCTAGGAATGGTAACTTATTTGTCCAAATTTGTAAGAAAATTGGCAGATATATCAGAGCCATTGAGGAAACTGACACATAAAAATGTTGAATTCAGGTGGGAAAATGAGGAATGTTCGGCATTTGAAGAAATAAAGAAAAGAATTGCTGAAATAACGGAATTGAAGTATTATGACATAGAAAGGCCAGTAAAAATAGAAACAGATGCGTCAAGTTTTGCTTTAGGGTGTGTTTTAATTCAAGATGAACGTCCCGTAGCGTATGCATCAAAAACATTAACAGCAACACAGAAAAATTACGCACAAATAGAACGGGAAATGCTAGCAATAGTATTTGCATGTAGGAGATTTGACCAATATATTTGTGGCAAAAGAGTTCTTATAGAAACTGACCATTCACCTTTGGTGAATATTTTAAAAAAACCGCTCCTGAAAGTCCCAAAACGGTTACAAAGTATGATTTTGAGTTTGCAGAGATATAACATAGAATTGAAATATAAACAAGGTAAAGATATCATCATAGCAGATACATTGTCAAGAGCACCAGAAAATATTCATAATAATGAAAAAGCAGTGGATATTTATTGGATGGAAGAGGAAGAGAGTTTTGATAGGATATGTACTTTGACAAATTTGAAAAATCAACGGAGCTTTGAGGATATTGGAACGATAGGATTTCAAGATAGCACTTTGAAAAGAATAGTCGAAGAAACAAAAAAGGATGCGACGTGCAGTAAACTGATTGATATAATAAGAAAAGGATGGCCAGAGCGAAAAACAACACTAGAAGATGATCTGAAAATATATTGGAATTTCAGAGATGACTTGATCATTGAAGATGAGTTGTTATTAAAAAATTCACAAATACTTATACCATCAAATATGAGACGGGAAATGATTGAAAAATTACACTGTGGACATATGGGAATAGAGAACACGAAGAAAATTGCTAGAGAAAGTATGTTTTGGCCAGGCATTTCTTCAGACATAGAACAAAAAATAAAGTCATGTGAAATTTGTGCAAAATTCGCACCCAACCAAAAGAGAAACCTAATGATGACAGTAGAAACACCAGAATTTCCTTTCCAAATAATGAGTATGGATATTTTTGAGATAGCAATAAATGGTTTGCAAAGAAAGTTCCTAATTCTGGTTGACCATTTCTCAGACTTTTTTGAAATGGACGAACTGAAGAGTATGGCAGCCAAAGAAATCATAATTTCGTGTAAAAGACATTTTGCGAGATATGGTACACCTCAATTGGTCATCACAGACAATGGCGGAAGTTTCGTTAATAAAGAATTTGAGCTGTTTCAGAAAGAGTGGAACTTCGAACATAAAACTTCTAGCCCTCACCACCAACAAGGGAATGGAAAAGCAGAGGCAGCAGTCAAAATAGCTAAGCAGCTCATGAAGAAGTCTGTAGAAGAAAGAAGTGATTTTTATCAAATGTTGTTGGTATGGAGAAACACGCCAAACAAGGTGAATATCAGTCCAGCTAAACGTTTGTTGGGAAGATGGTTACGCTGCGAGATTCCCAATAGGGATTTGAATCAACATACTCCAGACTATGAGGGTGTGCAAGAAAGAATAAATGCAAAGAAAGAATATATAGCGAAGAATTACAATAAAGGTGCAGAAAATAGAGAATGTGAGATGACAATAGGACAAAATATTTTCTTCAAAGAAAAAATGGATGATAATGAATGGAAGAAAGGGAAAATACTAAGCAAAGTTGATGATCGGTCCTATAACATTGAAAACGACAAAGGAAATACAATAAGAAGAAATGAAATAATGATAAAACCGAACATGAATAATGAACAATTGGATAAAAGATTAGATGGTATAGAAAATGATGAAAATAGGCAGATACAAGACGCACCGTTAGCTGTTAGAAGAGATAAAAGAATCATAAAAATTCCTGAAAGATTTCAGAGTTAAAAAAGGGGATGTTATATGTATTAGATCAGTTGAATCATTCTGTATTAATATCTTGAAGATGTTGCGATTGAATCATACTGTATTTGTATTGTCATTGTGACTGAGCATGTCATTGAATAAACGTTGCTTCTAGAGTCAGACAGATAGATATCATTTTTATTACAAAAAGTATTAAATAAAACAGATAGTACCCTCCATAACCGCCTTCTCTTCCAGGGCTCCAATACCAGCCAGGCAAATCAGAAATGAACGAGGGTGAACTGTTGACAACATAAATATAGACTTGGCAACAATTTTCGAATGGGGATCCAATAACTTGGTAGATTTCAATGCAAACAAAACACAAGCATGCCTTTTCTCTAGATAAGCCGATCTCACTGTGCCCAACATAAGCTTGTCAGGAGTAACCATACCTCTGAAGACATCCATTTCGATGCTTGGTACTATCAGCAATAGCCTTTCTTGGTAAAATCACGTGAGATCAATTGCTAAAAGTGCATCCCAAAAACTTGGTTTTCTGTTTCGGGCCAGAAGCTATTCCACTTCCAGTCAGTTGCTTATGATCTATAAGGCACAGATCCGACCTGTCCTGGAATACTGTTCCCATATTTGGAGTGCAGCTCACAAACATACCCTGAAACTGTTGGATTCTGTACAAAAAAGGGCAATTCGTCTCGTGGGTGATGCCTCGCTCACAAACTCACTCACTTCTCTGGAACACCGTAGAAAAGTTGGTGATCTGGCTCTATTTCAGAGATATTTTCATGGACGATGCTCTTCTGAAATATCAACAATTGTTCCTTTCTTGGCAGTCCCCGCGAGATTAACCCGTCGAGTTGAGGCTTCGCACCCTTTCGTGGACACTTTGGAGACCTGCAGAACATCTCTATCCAAAGACTCGTTCATCCAACGAACAGCGAGGCTCTGGAACACATCTCCAAGGGAGGTGTTCCCCGAGGCATATAACCTCCAGAAATTCAAGAAGAACACCAATTCCTACCTTATTTCTCTTGGTTCTCACGATTTTCTCTGAACATTACAGGATATTCCTTTTCGTGGGAATCAGAACATTAAAAACAAAAATTAGATTTGATCCAGAATCTCCAGGGGCGTACTCATCGAGCAAGTCATTTTTTTAGGTTCTTCTCGAATATTCATAAAATAAACCCACTAAAAATGCAAAATATTTCTATCTCTTGGCATTTTTTTGTAGCTTGCTTCGTTTTCGAAAAAAACGGACCATAACCTTGGTATCCTCTGAATTCACAAGGTAAAATGAAAATGTCCAGATTTTATTTGAAAAGCTATTGCACATTATGACATAATCAATAATATATAATCATAATGCATACGATCACGTCAATCCAGCGTCTTGGAATTCCTGACATCAATATGCATATAGGTACCGAGGCATATACGTAAGTAAGATCACCTTCCAATAGCACTTATAAGGTAATCATCGCTTTTTCGATTTCGAAATAGATTTCTTGTCATTTCTCAAAACACATACGGAATAAAAAGAGAAAAAACAGGACATGGTGTGGAATACCGGAATATATGAATAAGAAGTAAAATCAATTCACGAGCACGAACGTTTTATTCTTAAGTTACTTGTTCGAAAAATATTAATTTAATTTCGGACGTTTGCCCAATCCTGTATATCTATTTCAACATTATAATGAAATTTCTAACTTGAGACATATGTATAGGTTCTTATCGGAATCAACTGCCCCAAATATGTGCAACTCTACGAAGAACACAACCAAAAACCAAAACTCCAAGCAGATTTCCAGCAACATAAAGATACATTCGAGTACATTTCGAAAAATACAGGTCTGAATGTGACTTCATTCTACGAAGTATACAATCTATACTTCGGCATTTCCACTGAGGAAGAATGGGGACACAAATTACCAGTGTGGACTAAAATCGTGTGGCCGAAGACCATCATTGACTTGGCAATCCAAGAATATTTTGTGCAAACTGGCACCACAGAACTAATCAAGTTAGCCGAAGGTGAGTCATGTGAATGGAAACGAGAAGTAGGATTCAAGTACTGCCAGGGGCAGGGGATATTCATTTGTTTCATATTTTTGGCTTCATCCTGGCACCCGTTATGATCCGTATTGTTTATTGATACGTATATCGTATATGGCTTACACTATCTCTATATCGTGAATCAGTCGGGAGAAATACATTAAAATATGCATGCTCATATTTTACAATACGCTCTTTTCATTTAAAATAACTTCAGCAATGCAGTGTTGCCGCTTCTATCGAAAAGTAGCAACAACTTTGTTATTTCAAATTGAATACCCTGTATGTCATTCAGATTCTCCCTGAAGAGCTGAATCAAAATCGAGATTTTTCAACTTTAGGATTTGTTTGTGTCGAAACTATTCATTATCGACAAAAACGGCTCACATGTCCCTATCTCAACTTTCAATTGTCTATTTACTAATATTTGATCGGAACAGATACAGGGTGATCAGAATTCTGAATCTTGAACCACCCTGTATCTGTGTGATATATCGACAAAATCGGCTCTTTAGGGAGAATATTCGCCTGATAAAGTCTTATTATTTTTATTATTATGAAAATGAGATAAAATACAGGGTGTTCCATTTGAAATATCAATAATGCTACTACTTTCTTGTAGAAGCGACAACACTGCATTGTCGAAAATGAAAATGAAGAAAGCGTATTCTAAAAATAGTTTAACACCATTGTTCAGTTATCATGTAAGAAGCTGGCTTATACAGGGTGTCCCTAAAAGGTCTCTACAGAATTTCGGCACATATTCCTGAGATCAGAACAAGCCGATTTCAAACAACCTATTTAAGTCCAAAATTCCTCCACTTCCTAGATACAGGGCGGTGAAGTTGAAAAATAAAAATCGAATTTTTCAAAATGTATAAACATTTCTGAACCTATCACTTCAAAAATCAGTAGCTAAGGGCACTTCGGGATGCGATACCCACGAATACGAACACCTTTTCACTGAGGCAATTAGAAGGCTCTTCCCCAATGCACTTCTTATGGTTTACAATGGGCCATAACTGTTTTCTCAGTGTAGTTTTTCACTTTTTCTGTCGAGAAAGTAATTTTCTGAATATTTTCAAGCAAAAATGGTATATATGTGAAAATTCCATAAAGTTAGCATTTTTCGAGATATTTCGATTTTTAGTGTCCGATGCTGCACCGGAATATTTAAATTATTTTGGATCAAAATTTTTTGCTGAAGCTATCTTCGTGGATGTAATTGGGGCAGTAAATGAGCAGTGCAAAAATGGAATTTTCAAAATACTTTCTTTGTGTGTACTTGTCGAGTCTTATTTTTTAAATTTACCACCCTGGTATCTCGTAAACGGAGCAATTTTGGACTAATTGCTAGGTTAAATCGGCTTATTTCGACCTCACGGCAATGTGCTGAGATTTTGTACAGGCCATGCATTCGGACACCCAGTTTATGGGTAAAATAACATACTTGTAGATGATAAGCAAAAACATGATGAAGTGTTAGATTAATAATTTATTCTGGGGATATGTGCATCTTCAGGAGAAAATTAGAATGTTAGTGGTAAAACAGTGTATTTTCCAGGATATCATTTGAAGAAAATATTGGAAGATACTCGAAGGAAAATTGAGAATATCAACGAAACACACGGCCGAAAACTCTATCTCTATTCCGCGCACGAGAACAACCTGGCAGAAATGCTGATACTCCTGGGAGTTTTTGATGCTCATATACCAACATATGGTTCCTACCTGATTTTTGAAGTTCACAAGGTCAACGAAGAATATGGATTTAAGGTAAAGCACTGCTGAAAGTTTCACCATTCCAACATTCAAATCAGTAATCATTATATGTACTCACTTATTTTTCAGATTTATTACCAAAATTACCTGAGTAAGGATATTCAACTGCTAAGGTTACCAGCCTGTGAGGAATTCTGTCCGATAGATAAATTCACGAATATTCTACAAGAATATATTCCATCTGATAAGGATTCATGTTATGGTGAATTGTGATTTGGAATAAATTTTCTACAATATCATTGTGAGCCTTTTTTGGACGTGTTTTATGAACAAAATTACTTCAAAGTCAAAGTATTCCAAGAAATACGAAAACGTGATTTTTTATCGACATGGTATCTGTGTACTTTTGATTTTTCAGCTCTCTTTTGGATTCAAATTTATTTCTTTGAACTCAAAAAATAACATTCGACTTTCGTACATTAACCATGTGTGTTATTAACTCAATCAGCACTTCAGATTGGAAGGAATATAGATTATTTCAAGGTTTCAGCCGAGGGGAAATAATATTCTTCATGCACTAGCGGGCCGTAAAGTGCACGTTACCGCCCGGTTTTGCGGGCGTTACGTTGCACTTTACCGCCCGCTGTTCTCAGTTTCCCTATATCCACATATCAATTCATGAAAAATCTATGATCATTTTCCTGGATTCTAATATATCCAGCGGTATATCATAAACTTCTTCTTTATCCCATTCCATAGTCTCGCTATTATTATTATCAATAATTTTTACTTTTCAGTCAAAGAATGACAATTCAGCTTGTTTATTGGATGTATTGCTATACAAGAACCATCAGCTTTCTTGACAACGTCAAAATTAGGAATATATATATACTGGTATACTGGGTATGCATATTGTAACATTCTGAAAAATGAATCTCTTCTAGAGTTTGACAATTACGATGATTGCAATATTCGTACGATAAATTTTTATATGTAAATCATCCGTGAACATTACGTTTCTCTTGATTACTGAATTTATACGTGACAAATTAAATTCGGGGTAATATTAGTTTATCGAAATATATCGTCATTATCACTTTTAAGCCACAAAATAAACCACTAGTGCATAAAATTTTGTATGTATCACGTGCGTGAAATGCGTTTATGGCCTTCAGCGTGTAATGGCCCTCGGCTAGCGCCATCGGGCCATTATTCACGCCACTGGCCATAAACGCCTACTTCACTCCCTTGATACATAAATAACTATTATTACCAAGGTGTAAATAATATTTCTTTACCACTAGCAATATATTTTGATCGTTATAGTTTTGTGAAACTGAAATGTGCCTATGTCACTATGTAAGCAATTTTTTTCAATTATAATTGATGTCTAGTCACCATGACAGCATATGACAAGTGTAGTTTGATGAAATTGTCCTTATTGACTAGTAGCTCATAACATGACGAGAACTACCTTGGTAGGTAGTAAAAGAGAAGTACATATAATAGTAGGTTCTATAGCTAGTAGCGGAAAAACATTGAAATGACGATTCTGTGTTAAATGCTTGAAAAGTGAAAAAACACGAAAGCTACAGTACATATCTGTTGAGCGGGACTTTCTTGAGACAATGAAATGGAAATTTCCCCAGATTCTGTGAATTTGCGAAGATATCATAACCGCACAATAATCTTAATATATACGATTTATCTCCACCATGCAAGAGGAAACTCCGGCCAATTATTGACGGAAAACCAAATCCTGATTTTTCAGTATCAGGTATCCCAGCTTCCCAGCTATCTAGTTCATTATTTTTCTTATGACAAGGCAAGAATATAAACTGAACATAAACTAACCCAAATTGATATTGTTGGCAGCAAAAATGTAGTTATTTGTTTTTACAGGCAGAAAAGCACAAGATTCAATGCTGCGGCTAGAGGAAACCAGCCAAATAGTTATTTGTTTTACTAGGCAGAGAAGCACAAGATTTAATGCCGCGGCTAGGAAACAAGCCAAGGCATTTAATCTGCTTTTCTGTCTTGTGAAACATATGTAAAAACTTCACAAACGATAAGATTTCCACAAAATTCTCAAACACACGACATGTTTTGTATCAGTATATCACCTGACGAAGCTACTGTCTGCCTAGGCAGTAAAAGTACAGATTTTCTGCCTGTTGAGTATCATTAAAAACCCACTTTTAATGTCATTTGGAGAAAAAGGTATTGAATCTTCGTTTCTGCCATGTGAAACATAATGTTTTCACCAAATTCGTTTCAATTTGACGCAGTCCAAATTGTCAATTCTTTCTTATTAATGTTGTTTGGAGAAAATAGTTATTTGTTTTACTAGGCAGAAAAGGACAAGATTGAATGCTGAGCCATTCTGGCGTATGTTTTTGCCTAAGCAGGATTTTTCTGATGCCTGTAGGAAGGCAGTCAATCTACATTTGCTGCCGTGTGAAACATAGATTTTTTTCTCCAAATGATATAAACCAATTTTGTGTAATTCTTTTATTGAAAACTCCATCATTTTGTGCTCACCCAATGTCAGTGTCAATTTCGATTACTAATTTCCTTAGAATTTCTTGGAACGTTGCATAGCAACAAACTTTTCCTGCCTAGGCAGTAAAAGTGCACCTCTTCTGTTTTTTTTTCAAATTCACGAAAAGTCCAAATATTCCATTATTTTGTGTTTACCCAATATCATTGTCAATTTTGATTTTACCAGTTTGTTCCGTATATACCTAGGCAGAGAAATCACACCTATTCTGCCTGATGTTAAAGAAAAATGTATTTCTAGAATTTTTGCGATTTATTCGGACAACGGGCAAATCCAATTCCCATCAAAACAACATGTCGCGCTCTGTATTTTCCGATAGCATTAATAATTTTCCTGAATTCCGTGAAAAACCTATACCTAATGATCATGACGTCCACGTTCAAAGGAAAGCGATAACTTATAAAGATATTCACATACAGCGATGAAAATAAACCTAACATGCAGAAATGTTTTATATTAATTGGATCGTTTAAATTTAAAATGGTTTTAACCCATTCCAGATTCATCCAGAAACCTAGATTTTGAAAATGCAAAATTCAGGGCATTTTAAAAAAATAAAAAATATGAGAATTTCGAACAGAGGAGGAAACGCTGATAGAGTTAGATAACTGTGAAAACTGAGTCGATATTTTACCAAATGAAATTGATCGATTGTATTGACATACAAACGGATTGTTCCGATTGTTAATAAATTGTATATAGTCCTTGATTATATACAATAGTCGAGTTTTCCGGAAGTAAACGATCAGGCTATATACTTCTAGGAATGTATGTGTTGGATGTCTAGGTCTATAAATTTTATATTGGGACGATCAATAAAATGGCTATATGACCTGATGAATCACTACATAAATATGTTTTGAAACAAATGCGCTCTGACCATACCATATCATCTAGCTATTACTGAATGTCTGGCAACATTTCGAAAATCATTGACATTTCCGGTGTTTTGGAACTCGTCAAAAGCAAACGCCTGAGCTCGGTAATTAACATGCAATCACAATGATTCACAGACCTATTCACCAGACAAATTCAGAAAAACGCATTTTTTCCGTTCTCTTTTTTGTTTTCTATTACTAATTTCATTTATCGCTCCAATTTCGGAAACACCCTGTATAGCTAATAACGGAACAAGAGCACTTTTTTTGTGAAAAGATGTGGATTTTCATAATCCGAGATTGAATTGTCGAAAAATATGCATACAAAAAAGTGTGGGCATTTTTTTAACGTTCGGTGCGCACGACAGGGAATCCCTATAATATAATATAAAGGGAGAGGAGGTAGGTCTTGGAATTTTTGTTGAACTTTTGGAGATTTATTATTTTTTCTTGCTATGTCCTGTTATTTGCTATCTATCAATAAAAGCGTTTATTATTATTATTATTATTATTATTATTATTATTATTATTATTATTATTATTATTATTATTATAAGTTCTTGGAAATACTTCCTTAGGCAATGAACTTCAGAGCTTTCCCGTTCAATAGAGAAAAGAGTTTTGATATAGAGCTGTTCGACATATTTCAAGGTTGAAAAAGGAGTGAACTTGATGAGCACTCCCTTACCCCCTTTTGGGAAACACATTTTAATTTGTTTGTAACGTATTTCACCTTAATGTCGTTAGTTTTGAACTGGAACAAAGATATTTATATGGACGAGTACGCACTGATGATGACTTAACAGTCGAAAGCGCTCTGCTACGAATATTTTGAATAAATTATTTTCCACGAAATACAAAAGTAGAGGGCTTTAGCCATTTCCAAATCTCCCCCCAAGGCCAGAGGAGTGTGACCTTGGGGGGAGTGACCTTGGGGGGAGTGACCTTGGGGGGAGTGACCTTGGGGGGTGGCCTTGGAGGAGTGACATTCGGAGCGACCTTGGGAGTGACCTTGGGAGTGGCCTTGGGAGTGACCTTGGGAGTGACCTTGGGAGTGACCTTGGGAGTGACCTTGGGAGTGACCTTGGGAGGGATACGGAGGTTTCATCTCGGACAATTGTCGTGGTGACCTTGGGGGGAGTAATTTTCGTGCGCATTTGTACCTCTTCTCAAGGATGTTTGGTGGTGTAGTGGGGTATTCCATGTCCGAGTTTCTATAAAAACAGAATCCCCATCTTCAAGTGCATAGTTATTCCGAAAATACTGCTGGCTGAACAATCTTGTCAGATCAGTGGAAGTGCGATAAAGTGTGATATCAGATTTACGTAAGTTCAATTATTCATATATTTTTTATTCCTTCTTTCACTCGACGAGTAAAAATAGAAATGGCTCCTCCTAAAATTGATCTAGTCGCAATCAATAGTCGAATTAATGAGGAAAATGAAATTATTAAACAAATTCTAATATCGTCGCTACCACTGAATAAGAGTTTTATAATCAGGAAAATATCGTTATGTGGGACTCGATTCGGTAGAAGTGGCACCGTTATATTGTACGATGAAGAAACTGAGGTGAGCTTAAAATGTTGGTTACCAAAAAGAGTTGTAGACCTTTTGAAAGAAAGCGATGTTGATGAGATCAATTTTTCTAACGGCGTTTATACTTTAACGTACTTGGGTCAGAGTGAACCTTCATTTGCAGGTGCAAAGACGCGGGCTCTCATCAAGTTTGATGTCAAGGGGGGTGTAATTGACAAATAGTTTCATATTTCCTCAATTAGTTTTTCGATATAGTGTAGTGAAAAAGGTTTAAAAATTATATAATAATTCTTACATTAACATCATCACTTTATCGC